CACTTGTGATTATATGAGCGCTCTCACACATTAACCGAACCGACATCGGCCGTTGACGTTCGTCAGTTACGATAAATTCAAACATGTGTGATTTTCTCGTCCGATGTCAGATGAAAAGTACCAAAATGAACTGCAAAAAATTAACTTATTGGGTGCAAAAATAAAAAAAATTACATATAAAATCACATGTTTAGAGTATGTCAGTTAAAATGTATCAAAATATTTCACTGCTTACAAAATTGTAATGAAAACTAGATTTGTGTGTACAAATACGGTCGGCAAATAATCTGGTTAAGTGTGCGCATCATTTCGGACGGTCAAATTGTTCGGCCGAAATCGGTCGGCCTATCGGATGCAATGTGCGCCCAGCGTTACTCTAGATACCTGAATTTTCGTAATTCGTAATTCGTAGCTACGTTATGGGTTGTTTTTGCTTACGCGCTACATCACATTTAGCGCATTGTATAAATGCAATAGAATTCATCGTTTCCTTCGAAATATTTAAAATCAAACAATTTTACCATAAATAAGCACTTGATGGATGTTTTTTTTAATTCCTTTCCACTTTGTTTTTCTTCACACAGCTGTCTTCGAAAAAAAAACTGATAGCTGGCAATGCTGCACAGGTTTCCGCAAGGGTTGCAGCATATCGATTTTTCGTAACGTAGCTACGAAATACCGAAATTCGGGTTCTAGAATAAGGGTGTAAATCTGCCTCTGAAGCCAGACACCCTTACTCTAGAACCCGAATTTTCGTAATTCGTAATTCGTAGCTACGTTATGGGTTGTTTTTGCTTACGCGTTAAAGCACATTTAGCGCATTTAGGAGATATGAAGAAAAATAAAGAAGATATGAAGAAAAACTACTAGGGTTGTCCAAAACAAAAATTGTCAATGTTATTGTGGCTTATTAACATTTTATTTTTAAGATTTTTATTGAGCTTTGTACCACGATTGTTTATTAGAGAAATTGAAAAAGCAACAAAGTCTAAGCGGTAGAAGTTATAGCAGCTATTTCGGAGATCACCACATCTCCTCATCAGACTTATTTTTTCTAGACTTCAGCAGGTATCGAACCTGCGCAATCGATGTGCAAAGTCAGAAGCGTTAACCACTGAGCTATGTACATCTAGTCTAGAAAAAAGAAGTCTGATGAGGAGATGTGGTGATCTCCGAAATAGCTGCTATAACTTCTATCGCTTAGACTTTGTTGCTTTTTCAATTTTCCTAATAAACAATAGTGGTACAAAGCTCAAAAAAAATATTAAAAATAAAATGTTAATAAGCCACAATGACATCTATATATGGGTGTTTCCATGAAAATGTCAACCAGGACTGAAAAAATAAAAACAACTGAAAAGGGTTTTTACGACGAATTAATAAGAGTAAAATACTCGAATTTTTATATTATATAAGTATTTCAGCTTATTGCAATTTTAAAACTCAAAAATTTAAGAGTAAAACTGAGTGTCTCTTGGACTCAGTTTTCTCTAATTAAATGAACTATTTTCTCTTTCCTATTAACTAAATTAAGAGATTTGAAACATTACAATTACATCTTAAAATCAAATTTGCAATAACAACTAACTATAAAAATGAGAAAAAGGAGAAGTTAGAGCTCGGTTAACGGTAATTTTTTGATTTGCTTCTGATGGTATTCTAATGTCGCGTACGTTATGCAAAAACATTGTTTGTCTATGTCATTTGTATATTGGCAGTCGCAGGTAATGCAGATTATAATTCTTAAGCGAGAATTCTTCCAGTTAAAGATATACAGTAAAATTTTCTTTCCAACCGTAGTAAAACAAAAGTTTGTCGCATACGTTATTGTAAGTACGAAAATTTCAATCAAATACCTCAAAACCAATGTTAATTGCAAATTTTCCATTTAAATTATTTAGAATAGTTGTAAAACAATGAAACGGTGGCGGGAAGAGTTCTCAATAAATACATTTTATTACTTACGAGAAAAATTGTCGCGTACGTTATGTCGCGTACGTTATTGTTTTTTTTTTAATATAAAACTAGCCAGAGATAATTTCTCTTAAAATATGAAAGGATTGTAAAGGTACATTATTTAGCTTAGTTTAGGAATATTTAAAGAAAAGAAAAACTCCCATGATACGCAGACTTTCGCATATATGCGTGTTTCCATGAAAATGTAAACCAAAAATGCAAGCAAATGAATTCAAACGGCTTTATAACTTTAAATTTCGTATTCAGATGGCGGAAAAAGGTTTTGAAAACGCAAAACGGTGGAGAGAAGAACTGAAAAAATTTTATTTAGTATGTGTTACTAGTAAAAATATTGTATGGGGGAAAAATCTGTCGCGTACGTTATTATAATTTTTTTAAATAAAAACTAGCCAGAGATAATTTCTATCAAAAAATGGAAGGACTATAAAGGTACATTATTTAGCTTAGTTTAGGAATTTTTAAAGAAAAGAAAAACTCTCATGATTCGCAGACTTTCGCATATATGTATATGTGCCTTAAAACCACTTCTTTTTTTGTCGCGTACGTTATCACCTGGTTTTGAACGGATATTTTCCACACCAAAGTTTCGAGGCTGCTTATTTTGTTCTCAAACATAGTACCCTTTGGTTGCAACATAACCGTAATCTTTTTTTTTTCAGTAACTTCTATTTTTGATAGATTTACGTTACTCTATAAGCGTACGAATGTCGCGTACGGCTGTATGCAAAGAACGTAAATGTATAAGAAGCGACAACTCGTTACTTTGAAAATGTGCCGGGACGATTTTGACCGTATCTGAAAGGTTGAGATGAGGAGTTTGTCTCCCTTTTGACTCTGTCCGCGGCAGATTTTTGATTTTCGCCCCGAATGCGGAAAATGTCAGCAAAACAGAAGAAAAGCGGCAAATGCGAACTTCTTTGATTATTTTGCACAAGGTGTTGAAAAGTGTATTTTAATTTAGGAAATAAATAAAAGAAGGTGTAAAATGTATAGTATTCAGTGAATGTGTAAAATACTGAAGTGCATGTATGTGAAAGTGTCCATATTCATAATAGAGTGTTTGTAAGTGCGAAGTGTTTGTCAACAAGTGTCGATTGTTGGTGTCTGTGCATAAGAGTGATCATTATTTTAAACAAAATCAGTGTACTTTTATATAAAAATGCATTAGTTTAATAAGAAATCTATGCATTTAAATATGAGTGTACTTATGTTTTGTTTTCATCTGGAAATTTACATATTTAAAGTGTGCAAAAAAAATGGTGTTTTGGGAGATTTGATGGATAAAGTGTGTATACGGCGGCTTTATTACAAAACCAATGTTTATTATATACAGATAGCATAAGTTTAATTTAAATCTATGCATTTATACATGAGTATGCATACATTTTGTTATTATCGGGCAAGAATAAATGTTTTCCAATTTTTTGTTCATATGCATGCAAAAAATAAACACATAAATGTGAAACATGAGTTGTCTCCGTCTTTCTCACATCCTCCGCCAAAACAAAGGCGTAAATGTGAAAGATAAGTTGTCTTCGTCTCTCCCACGCCCTCCGCCATCATTATCTTGACAAATTCTTAAATTCCTGCAAAATGCCGTGTCCTGACATATTTACGCGCATACATATGTACGTTTACAGTAGGCTACTCCTAACTTGAATTCTTGTAGCTCTATTCTGCTTGTTACCGGATATTTTGTAACCAGCAAATTTTGTTACCAAACATTGTTAGCACTTCTTGTAACCGCAATTCAAGGTACCTTGGTAGAGTTTTAATTTATTCAGCATTCCAGGTATGAAGTTTTGTAGAAATTCTGTTGTTACATATTTCATGGGGCAATATTTTGTTACCTGCTTATGATATGGTAACAAATTTTACTGGTTACAAAAGTGCGCTGAATGTGAAAAGGGTTTAAAGAAAGAGAGGACCTTTATTTTCCGTTAAAAAAATCTGATTACTAACGCAGAATAGGTTAATATACGATTTTGTGTTTGAATATTTTCATGATAGTAAACAATATTTGTGTTACCAACGCAGAATAGGTCTGCATGTATACACTCACTTATACATGCTTCATAGCTTCGAAATTATAAATAATGCAAAATAATTAAATTTTTTGAATTCTTATACATGTTGCTCGTATTATCTAGAGTCAACTGTAAACAAATCGTAAGCGATCGGTTTAAAAAAATTTTAAAATTGATGACCGAAGCTGGTGAAGGCCACCATGTTGCCAAATTACATTTGTTGTAAAACCACTTATGTATGTGATTTCAGAAGTTTTGAGTCTACATCAAAATATCCAGGGCCATTTGTGCGAAAAATGCATGTTTATTTTGTTTTTTGTTAAAATAAAATCTTAAACAACTAATTAATAATTTAAAAGTTGGAAAAGCACTGCGATTTGGAAGTTTAGAGAATAAATGTCTTAACTCGAGATAAGTTATTTTTGCAAACGTCCTCAGATTTTACTGCTGAGTTGCAACTTTTCATTTGACTGGCTGTGATTTCTTCAATTTTACATTTTAGAATTTTTGTGGCCCTCGCGCAGAAGTTGCGCTTGTGGGCGATGAGTTTGCGGGGAGAAGTATGGTCATTGAATTTATGAATGAATGAGTTTGACCTTGAAGAATATGCGCATGCGTTTATGAATGAATTTGTTATTGTTGTATTTTAGTGGCATATGCGTATATGTACATATGTACGTATATTTGATTGGATGTAGAAACATACACATGTTAGGAGGAAAATCGCAAGAGTACATTTGTACAAATTGATGTAAATTATTTATTGATTATAAATGTACATTTGGTTGATATCAAAAGGGTAATTTCATCCATAAATTACAACTTTACAACTTCCATACTAAAGAGGAAGCTCATAAAGGTCTTGCATAGCGCATGTATTTAATTTACTTATATTTGTTTAAAATTATAAAATAAAGTAAATCTATGCACATGCGCATGCAAATTGTTAAATGCCGTCAGCAAATAAACAAAAAGAGCTGCGGCCATGTTTTTTTTCATTTCATTTGATTATTTCTATCATCGGTCACTTTTTCTTAACGTTCTTTATCGCCGCGAAACCATATGTGCGGCGAATTCATTTACGAAAATGGATGTCAAAACGGACGCGAACTCCTCATCTCAACCTTTCAGACCTCACTCGCCGACTTTAGCGAGTTGTCGCTTCTTATACATTTACGTTCTTTGCTGTATGGAAACACCCATATGTATATAAAAATGTTGTGTTCGTATGTCACGGTCGTCAAAACTTGAGATCGGTTGAACCGATTTGAATAATTCTTTTTTTGTATTGTTCGGTGTAATACCAGAACCAATGATATCACAAAAAATTAGAGATTTGCCACATATTTGAAAATTTTTAAACCCAATTGTATTGATAAAACAAATGAATTATTATAATGTGGGCATAAAATTAAAGAGGTTTAAGAAAGATAACTGTTGGAAATATTTTTGACGAGGGTTGCCACCTATTTGGAAATTTTAGCTCAATCAAATTGATAAAGTAAATAAAATATTGCCATGTGGGTGTAAACTAAAGAGTTTAAAGAAGGCTTACAGCCGAAAATATATTTGAAGAGGGTTGCACCTTTTATAAAATAAATGACATTACCATATAGGTTTCAAATTAAAGAGGCTTAAGAAATATGACTGTATGAAAGACTTTTGAGGAGGGCTCCCACCTATTTGAAAATTTTAGCTCAGCTAAATTGATAAAATAAATGAAATATTGCAATGTGGGTATTAAACTTTAGATTTTTAAGAAGGCGCCCGGCCGAAATTAAGTTTGAGGACGGTTACCGCCTGTTGGAAAATTTAACTCAATATAATTGATAAAATAAATGGCTTATTACAATAAAGGTATAGGATTAATGAGGTTTAAAAAAACAGATTGAAGGAATTATTTTTGAGGAGGGCTGCCACCTATTTGAAAATTTAAGCTCAGTTAAATTCATAAAATAATTGAAAAATTACAATGTTGGCAATAAACTTTAGATTTTTAAGAAGGCTTGCAGTCGAAAATATGTAGGAAGAGGGTTGCCCCCTGTTTGAAAATTTAACTCAATTTAATTGATAAAATAAATGACTTATTACAATAAATTTATCAAATTAAAGAGGATTAAAAAAATTACTGTTGGAATATTTTTAAGGAGGGTTGCCACCTATTTGAAAATTTGAACTCAGTTAAATTGATAAAATAAATGAAATATTGCAATATGGGTACCAAACTAAAGAGTTTTAAGAAGACTTACAGCCGAAAATATGTTTGAAGAGGTTTGCCACCTGTTTGAAAATATAACTCCATTAAATTAATAAATTAAATGAAATGCTAAAATATGGGTGCCAAACGAAAAGTATTTGAGGAATCTTGATTTGGAAATACTCTCAATAGAATTGTGCAATATGTAAAAGTAAACTGAAAATATTTGAATTAAATGAAATATTACATAACTGGTTCGAAACGGAAAGCGTTTGGGAAAGCTTTATTAGAAACATTTTTTATTATTGTTTTCACATATCCAAATCTGGACAGTTTAAATGAAGGGAGAGTTTACAACATCTTATCAAACGAGGTGATCATATTATCAACGAAGAGTTGGTATACAAATTACGGACAGAAAAAAATTAATAAAAAACCACTGATACAAATGAAAAAAATTATAAAAGGCATAACGGAAACATAAAGATATCCCATGAAATGAAATAATGAAAACTTAAAATTGTTATCACCATTACCTTACATTAACACAGTTAACAATTAAATTTTAATCATAAACAATTTCGTTTTGGGGTCGCCATAGCCTACTAAGTATATTGCGATTAACGAAATTTTGAATAACAATAGATAAGACTATTATGATTATGATTATTATTACTATTGTGAACTCCTATTATATGTGCAAAAACATTCCCAAATTAAAGCCAAAGCAGAAGAGCATTTACGATCGCATGATGCAAGTGTTAACATAATAAGAGCTGCAGAACTTAACCACTCAGGAACAATTTTTACAAGCACGTGTAATTTCTGGCGTGTGCCGGGGACATCGACATCATAGGTAACAAAAACCTCGAAGTCTGTTCTGCCTTTGCCAAGTTGGATAAGAAACGACAACAACATCAAATAAACAGTCAGGGAATTTGCACCTTGGCACCCACGTCACTGTTGCCAGTTGTAATTTCGAGAAAGTAGAGAATTTAGTTTACTTGGGAACCACCATTAACACCGATAATAATGTCAACATGGAAATCCAACGCAGAATCACTCCAGCCAACAAGTGCAACTTTGGACTGTGTAAGCAATTCGGGAGTAAAGTTCTCCCTCGACGTACAAAAACCACACTCTATAATTCACTCATCATGCCCGGGCTGGTTTATGGCGCAGAAGTTTAGACAATGACAAAATTCGATGAGGCGGCTCTTGGAGTATTCGAGAGAAAGATCTTACTTAAGATTTACAAGTCTCTCCGCCTTGGCGACGAGTAGTCTCGCAGACGATGGCATGATGAGTTGTATGATCTTTACAACGAAATTGACATAGTTCAGCGAATGAAAATACAGCGGCACCATTGGCTTGGACATGCCATTCGAATGGGAACCGAACTTCCAGGTCTGAAAGCATTCAACTCGCAATCCGCTGGTGGTACCAGAGGAATGGATAGACCAATTGGAGAAGGATTTGGCTTCACGTGGCATTTCCAATTGACGTCAGTTGCCAGAGAGAAACGAGTGACGTTCTTTGTCGAGCTCGGCCAAATGGCTTAGGCGGTTCCCGCGCCAAATAAGAAGGAGAAAATGGTATCTGGGGACCTTATTCTTGGATGCACCAAGAGGAACTAGGAAAACATTCCTTATCAGATTGATTCCGGGGACGGTTCCTTCAAAAAATTACATAAGCTGAGCTAGGGCTTCGCCTGCCATTTCTGCGACATTGTTAAAAGTGAAAGAATTGCTAATTCAGCAATCTCACGTGCAATATTTCCAGAACATCCGGTATGGAAAAAGTATTACAAAAATTTAAACTCATTGTTTGGGATGAGTGTACCATGGCACACAAAAAATTGCTTGAGGTTTTTGATCGATTGTCGCGAGATTTGCATGGAAACGTTTAACCATTCGGGAATGCATTGATGTTGCTCTCAGGAGATTTAACGTAAACATTGCCTGTAATTTCTCGATTAACACTACCGGGCGAGATAAATGCTTGCCTGAAATAGTCAACATTGTGGCAAGGCGAACATTCATACACTGCAGCCGAGGTATTCTCGCGACAATTACTGGACAATGGGAACAGAAAGGTGCCAGTCAATGAGAGGGTAAGACGAATTTTATTGCCTGATAATTTTGTAACTTAGAAACATCGAAAGGAGAACTGAACGAAAGAATGTTTCTTAATTAGGAAAATTAATTATAGGCTCAGTTAACGAGCTATTCTTGCTGCGAAGAATAAGGATGCCTATCACCTAAATAACAGTCGTTGCTTGAGCTGATCTGCTCTTTCACCAGACTGCCAGGCCACTTGCTCCCTTTGGTGAACACCACTAATGTTATTCAATGCAGCATTCAAAGTCAAGAAATAACCTATACGTCGATAAACACCGTTCTGGAAAAAGACGGTGTAGTTATTATCCAACGGAATTTTTGAACTGGATTGATCTTCAAGGGATGATGGCGCATACTGAAATTGAAAATAGGTGTGTGTGTTAATCAGCCGAAACTCTTCAACTGCACGCGACTAGCAGTAACGACATTGATGAAGAACGTAGTGTAAGCAGTAATTTTAACGTGGTCTTTCAAAGGTGAAGAATTCCCATGATTCCGACCGATACACAATTTCAATTTAAAAGATTGCAATTCCCAATTCTATTGGCATTCGGAATTGCAAACAATAATGCCCGTTTCGTCAAACCATATATTCTTGATATCTATGCAGAGAATGCCAAACGATATTGTGTGCACACAAGTACTTATTACAAAATCAAACTTATATGAAACGTATACTTTGTTTTGTTAATCATTTATCATCTATGCAACAGGAATATGCCACAGCAAAACGTGGCAGGGTACGGCTAGTTGACAAATACATAGTTTAGGAAGAGCCTGTCTGAAACTATACAATAAAGCAAATAAGCAAATGGATGTATAGAATTGACAACAACAACCACGCTGTCAAGTTTAAATATCGGCAAATCAGCTGCACTTGATAGTAGTTGGTTGAATAAGGAAAATAAATTAGCAACAGGAGTTCACGGGGTGTACATGACTCATTGGCTAACGCTTCTGACTTTGCACATCGATTACGCAGGTTCGATCCCTGCTGAAGTCTAGAAAAAAGAAGTCTGATGAGATGTGGAGATCTCCGAAATAGCTGCTTTAACTTTTACCGCTTATACTTTGTTGCTTTCGCAATTTTCCTAATAAACAATCGCGGTACAAAGCTCAATAAAAATATTAAGAAAAAACAAATTATATTTTTTTTAAATGCTTCTCAAAAATACTTTATATGAGGGGGTGTACGGCGAACCTTTTTTTCCGATACGTTCTACTGTACATGTTTCCGCAAGGGTTGCAGCATTTGGATTTTTCGTTTCTCGTAGCGTAACTACGAATTACGAAAATTCGAGTTGTAGAATAAGGGGGGTATATACATACACAAGGCCGTATTTAAGGCAAAATGAGCTTTTAAAAAAGGAAAAAGAAGGTCATTTATTTTTTAATTTTGTAATGTACAATGTGCATGTGTGTAAAAATATACATACAGCGCTGAAAAAATTATGGCCGAACCACTTTTTGCCAAGTTTTAACGAATTATTTTTGTTCTTATTTAATTTTGATGATTTTTTTATAAAAATATAGTTCATTCTTTAAAAAAACCCCGTGTAAATCCAAGTTTCCAACTTTGTGCAATATTCTTTGGTGGTAATAAATAAGTGAAAATGAAAAAGCACAAAAAAGCATACGTTACTTGCAAATTATAAAATAAATATAAATTTTAACAATTTCAGCATGACACCGAAAATACAGCTTTCCCACGGGCGTTTGTTTGGTGTTTCAACTGTCAAAATTTTACTTTTCATTTGGCACAGAAAATTTCAATTTATACGTACACCATGGAAAATTGTTCCATACCGTCTCACCACGGAGAAAAATGTTACCGATTGGTACACAGCAATAGCCGTGGATTTTCACGGAATTATATCAAGCGGCCTTAGGCCTTTCAAATATCCGTAAACGAATTCCAGTGTTATAATGAAAATGAAGAGATAAAAATTAAAAAGGCAAAACGTGCAGAAAAAGGCAAAATTAAAATTAAAACTTTTAATCGAGGAATACATGAAACGTGTGATTCTTTTATTTGTATAAAGATACGACCAAACAGACAAAATAGGCAAATGCCTTAAAATCCTAACCCTGATAATAACTATTCCTTATGGGAAAGTAATTAGGTTTTACACTCCACTGACGTGTTAAAAATGCAGCAGGTGCGTCACTTTTGAAGAAATAGAGTTTTTATATTTTCTAGTAATATGTTCTGTAAACTAGAGGGTTAATATGTGGTGAATCACGATTGGTAAGCACTTTTCGAAATTCACCCCATACCCTCTAGAACACATTACTTTAACCTGGGCATGTCATTGGAGGTAAGCGAGGAGGTAATGCTTTCCCACTGGATTACCTGTAATGTGAGAAAGTGAAATATTTTGTCTTGAGGCGTATTGTAACGGGTTACTCCAACGATACAAAAAGTAAGCGCTTACCAAAAAAATAAGAGTTTTTGCTAGGAGGTTAAATAAATTTGGTTAGTACAGTATCTATTGGAGCAGTAATATCTTTAAGATTACTTTTATTTTTTGTTGTTTATGTGAAATATTGTATTTTTATTAGTATTTTTCTTTTAATGAAACTATGTTAAAATAAAAGTGAAAAAAAAAAATATTTTGTCAGAAATGATATATCTTGCCCTCATTTGATTAAAAGGAAAAAATATTTCACATAATTTGATTTATTTGCAACAGCTGACGACCGACGCACGCGATCTTTCTGCTTTGTGTTGGCCTTAGCGTTGCCAAATTTTGGCTATGTGGACGGCTGCATTGAAATTCAACGCCAACGCAACGCCAAAGTTGTATGTAAACCGGCCATATGTCCTTGAACAACGGGCATGTAAAGGGATGTGTAAACATAACTCTCTCTGCGAAGTCGTGTTTTTTAAAGCTCGCAAATTAATAATCAAAATTATCGTACAGTGCCCGTGGAATTATACCAAAGGTGCAAAAAAGTGCGCGAATACACCACCGCTGGTGACTTTGTGCCTAGCGAAGGTTCCCCACCGAAAGTGGCGGTTTTTATCGTGACTTATTTGTGCAAATCCAAACAAAATCTCTGGATATTACTATATAAGCAAAGAGAGAGAGAGCGAGAGAAAAGTGCGCGGCACATTTGTTGTACACTCAAACAGAGGGGCAAATAAAGAAGTGTCAACATCAAGTGTATACAAAGTTGTCAAAACGCAGAAAAAAGTACTGTCAAGTGGAAAAGCGAGATTTCACACCTCCTGTATGGACACTAACTCACCACGGTATGGTGGAGTGCATGGTGAAACCCAGTTTAAAATGGTTGAGAAACATACGAGCCCTAGCAAAAAAAAAAAAGTGTGAGAGAAAGTATGAATTCCCCAGGTAAGTCTGCATACCCTTTTCGTAGGTGTCCAAAAATACCGCGATCACCAGATCGCATCCATTCACCTGCATTGCAAGCTGCGCAGCAATCTACTGACAATGCCGCTGCCACCCAACTGCATAGTGAGCTAAATGACAACGTTGTCGATCCGTCAGCAGTTGGGAGTGAGATAGGGAGTGCAACTTGCTCTCAATTAAATGAAGTGAGTGAGCGACCTGTAGCGATAAGAGATATGGAGGTCGTAAACAAACTGAAAGACACACAAACTATTAGTATGGTGAGAGCAAAGATTGAGGAGATGAGTAGGTTGATGAACGGGCAACGTCACGTAAATCAATGAAGAATTTGTTAGCTAGCGCTGCTAAACTATGCAAAAGCATTGAGAATGATGCAAAAACAATTAGTAAGGGAAATACGGAGTCGAAAAGAACTCAAACTGGCCCAACAATTGTAGCCAAAAACCAAACGAAGCGTAGCAGAGCTTCAAAAGAAGGCGGTCTTATATCCGAAAATCAGGCTCAACCAATAGGGAAACGGTCGCGTTTTTCTTTCCCTTGCGCTGACGAAACCGGTCAGTCACGCACAAACCCTACTGGTCGGGATGGGGCTAATGAAATTTCGAGTGGTCGTCCTGATGATGGCGGGCAAAATATCTGAGCAGACAAAGAGGGTTGGACCAAGGTGGAGAAAAAGCAAAAGCTAAATCCAAAAAGAAAGATGGTTCGCGCCGATGCCATCATTGTTAAAAGTACAGTGGATTGTTCATATGTAGACATTTTAAAAGTGGTTAAAAGTCAGGACAGCCTCAAGGACTTCAGTGCATCAGTTCGTAAAATGCGGAAAACAGCAAAGTGGGGCTGCTGTTTCAACTCGGAAGAACATCGGACCAAAATACCACAAAACTAAAAACTGCAGTAGGCCAACTACTATCTGGAAAGGCTGAGGTGAAAGCGCTAACAAAACAAACGCTGGTTGAAATTCACGATATTGATGAGATCACATCCGGGCAAGAAGTAGTGGAAGCCCTCAATTCCTTACATAGTGACATGAATTTTAAGAACTCAGACATCCGCTCATTGAGAAAAGCCTATGGTGGTACACAAACTGCTTCACTCTTGTTGCCCATTGACACAGCCAGGGCTCTAATTGAAAAACGAAAAGCCCGGATCGGGTAGGTGATATGCCGTATTCGTGAAAAAATTCAGATCACACGTTGCTACAAATGTTTAAACGTGGGCCACATCGCGAAAAACTATTAGAGTACAGAGGAAGAGCATATAGCCAAAATATGCCAAAACCCAGTGAAGTGCGTATTATGTGCAAATAAAGACCCAAGCCGAGCAAATCACCACACCGGAGGCGTGAAATGTCTTTTTTATCGGGAGGCTGTCCGTAAACTACAAAGACCATGAGAGTACTCCAATTGAATTTGAACCGTTGTCAGTCCGCTCAAGACCTACTAGGGCAAACTGTAAATGAGTTAAGCGTAGACATTGAAATCCTCAGTGAACCTTATAAACACAGAGAGAGAGAGGAAAGCAGCAATCTGGTTATGTGGACAAAAGCCGAGTTTTATTCAATGTGTAGTCTCCGAAAACTGCTTTGTATGCGCTAAACTTGAAAATTTGTATGTGTATAGTTGCTATATACCACCGAGCACTCCCCTTGCGGCGTTTGAGGATATTGTCAACAAACTCTGCCTGGATGCCAGAGGGAGAAGTAATGTAATTATAGCTGGCGACTTCAACGCATGGGCGCAAGAATGGGGCTGCCCTAGAACAAGTCCACAGGGCAAAGCGCTTTTGGAAGCATTTGCGTGCTTGGACGTCGTCCTCTTAAACACGAGTACCGAATACACCTTCAACCGCTACGGATATGGATCAGTTATTGATCTGACGTTTGCAAGCAAGGGGCTGTCCCGGCATACAAAGTGGAAAATTAGTGATTGTTTTACGCAAAGCGACCACTCGGCAATAATATGCGACTTAAATCAAGGTAGGGTCAGTACCCAGCAGGAGATTCGAATGCCCACTTTTTTCAGGATGGAAAGTTGCTTCACTGGACGTGGACGTATTCGTAGTAAAGCTACCTGCACGTGATTACGAAGGGTCGGCAGAAAACATGGCGAAACAACTAATGGCAGACATTAGGGCTTCATGCGATGCGGCAATGAAAAGGCGGCCCACACTCAGACCACACAACACTGTTTATTGGTGGAACAACCAAATAGCATCTCTAAGGACGCGCTGCCTTCAAGCCAGGCGGCGTTTTCAATGTTCCAGAGGAAGACAAAATTTCGAAGAAAGGCGAGAAACGTACAAGAAAGCACGTACTGCCCTTAAAACCGCTATTAAAGACAGTAAGCGCCAGTACTTCCTAGAGCTGTGTGACGGTGCGGAAGGAAATCCAATGAAAGCTACTACAGCCCCCACACCAAAGTGTCCCATTTTTCTAAAGACTGTGGTTGAGACGTTGTTCCCCAAACAAAGGCCGCTCGTTTCCCCAGTGAAAACCGAGATGGCATTATCGTTTGAACGGGTAACAGCAACAGAAGTATTGAATGAAGTAGAAAAAATAGACGACAAGAAAGCACCCGGGCCCGACTGTGTACCTAATAAAGCCCTCAAACTGGCAGCAAATCATCTAACTGATTCCTTTGTGGCAGTTTTCAACGCATGTTTCGCGGAGGGCGTTTTTCCATCTATCTGGAAGCAACAAAAGTTAGTCTTGCTGCTTAAGCCAGGTAAACCAACAGACGATCCTACCAGCTTTAGACCAATTTGTCTACTTGATACAGCTGGTAAGATTTTAGAGCGCGTAATAGCCAACCGCTTAGAGACAGAAGTTTTAGCTAAGGGAGGTATCTCACCCAACCAATACGGCTTCAGGAAAGGTAGGTCTACAGTGGATGCAGTATCGGCGGTGATTCAGTTAGCTAGGAGTGCAACCTCTGGTTCGCGATGGCTCGGGGGCTCTAAGCAGTACTGCCTTATTGTTACCCTTGACGTTAAAACCGCGTTCAACTCGGCAAACTGGGCAAAAATATTGGACACGCTGGATCGTTTGGGGGTATCTAAATACCTAAGTCGCCTAATAAGAAGTTACTTCCAGGACCGAATCCTGTGGTATGAAAGTGCACATAGCACGAAAAATCTTGAAATAACTGGTGGTGTTCCATAGGGGTCCGTCCTAGGCCCGCTTCTGTGGAATATTATGTACGACGGTGTTCTAGGTGTAAAAAAATCAGAAGACGTAACGTTTAGAATTAGCGAACACGAAATTTCAACAAAACCGGCGATAAAGTGTTTGGGAATTCTGATCGATAAAGGGTTGACGTTCAAAGTGCACTTAGAATATATACAAAAAAATCGGATGTGACAGTGTCAGCACAATCACGAATAATGAAAAATGCCTGAGGCCCTAAACAAGCAGTAGGAAGCTTCTGGAAGGAGTCGTAAAAAGTCAGATTATGTATGGTGCTCCTGTATGGCATCAAGCGGTGTTCCACTGTTCATACTATCGTGGTCTAAATGCAACCTATTGTTTATGTGCACTACGTGGTTGCAGCGCGTTTAAAATGGTTTCAAACGATGCGGCGTTCGTGATATCCGGTCTGCTTCCAATTGACATCTTAACCAAAGAATCGGTCATGTTGTTTTCAAGCCAAAGAGAGGAGCTCCAGAGAACCCATCACGGCAAAACAGCCTGTTAGAATGGCAACGCAAATGGAAAAGCTCAACTAAGGGGCGATGGACGCATTGCTGTATTCCGGATATTGAACGATGGACAAAGAGGTCTCATGGAGAAGTAGAGTTCCATCTATCGCAATTTTTAAGCGGCCATGGCTGTTTCCAGGCGTACCTTTACAAATACAAACACGATAGTGATCCGTACTGTGACTTCTGCGGAAAAGGCACCATCGAAGACCCGATTCCCACGATTCAGCGAACAGAGACATAGACTCCAACAGTATATCAATGCAGCACTGTCTCCAGAAGCTGTAGTAAATTATATGCTGAGAGGTAGAGAGGAATGGAGTTTAGCCAGCAGTGAAATAGCGTCAATTATGAAATATTTGAGATGAGGTATGTAATGCAAAAGCGCGGATTGGAACCCAGGTACCAACCGCCAAGGCAATGCGGCTCTGAAATTCGCGAACCCGAAGAGCATGAGCGGATTTGAACCTAGCGCGTTCCAGCCGTCAAGGCAGGAGGCTTAGAAACTATGCTTTCAAACCGTCTCCCCAACATAGCGTCGGCGCGGGTTGGAACCTAGAGTTTTACTATCATTAAAACGTGGCAGAACCTATTAGGTACAGCCCAGGACTGAGTAAATTTGACAGGAACGTACGTGCGAGCTTAGTGCCTCCCGACGGAATACTTGACGGTGGTACCGGGGGGATCCGTACTTGGACAGTAGGAGGTTTAGTTCGGGTTAAAGTCCCACACTGACAGGTACAGGCTTTCAATGCTTCCTCCTCGTAAAAAAAACATGTTATGTATGTACATATTTATGTACTAAAAAATATTGTTTTAAATAATCTATGCGTATGTATGTAAATAAATTTTATTTGTTGATTAAAATGCTGCCCTAATATAATATTCACATATTTATATGAATATACATTATACATTAAATACATACATATATCAACATATTTTCGTACATAATCTATTGAGATATGTACATTCACACAATTTTATGCCCAAAAAGGCATGTGTTGTATAGTACACTCGGAGCGCTCGCTCGTCGCTCACTCGTCTTACCTAGCCGAGCGAGTATGCAGACAGCTACTCGCCTCGGCACTAGTGTTGATATTTGAGATTTTTAAATTTTACTAAATTAACGACAAAAACTGTAACTTCTTGAGCTTAATTGTACTTTTCACCATTTCCGTCAAAACATTACCTCCCGTTTTCCTTCAATCAAACATAAACCCAAGGTACATTGAACAGGTAGTATCAGTAGAGCAGCTGATTTGATTTATTTTCAAATTATTTGGTCTCGAAAATGTCAAATATTTTTAATTTTTTCTCACGAAAATTATAAGTTATTAAAATCCATTTGCTTGTGAAACCTTTTTCCATACAAAACAAGCGATTGAATAGCAGCTTTTGGAACGTTCGCCCAACTCGGCAGCACGACCGCTGATTACTGGGCCTTGCAAAGGATGGATCAATGCTTCGAGAAGCATCAAATTTACTAGGAAAGAAAGTTGCATCAATTTTTATTTTTTCCAATTTCAATTTTTTATTTTTTATAATTTTTTGTATTTCACATGACACGCTTTGATTTAGAAGAAAAAATTCAGAACAGTTGTTGACACTTTCGATACCAGAAGCAACAACAAAATACACGCAAATGTTGTTTTTGCTCTACTGATACTACCTGTTTAATGTGCCTTGCATAAACCATATTTTTGTCTCCTACAGTAAGTTTACATATCTTTCAGTTCATTGTATAGCTTCAATTGGTGAAGACTTAATTTAACGTAACATATCATTGAGATCTCTCCAACTAGCACATAAAATCATAGCCAGTTTTGACAGAAAGTCCCACTAAAATTCATTAAGTTTACAGTTTAACTTAAGTATACACAAATAATTTCTTAAATCGTATTCCACATTTTAAAAAGTACACCAGCGTTAAAATTCTACGCTCACCCAGTTTGAGATATATATTTAATTTTTTTCATATTAATTTTCATAATTTTGTATGAAAGTATAGCTCATTGAAGAAAAATGTCAACAACGGCGTTGCGTATTTTCTTCCATATAAAATAAAATGCCAACATTCCTTATACAGAAGAAGGTGCGCAACACCGTCAACAAAAAAAAGCTAAAAATCAATGGTATTTTTTAGACATTTAAAACTTGCACCG